TTTGAAAAATATACACTTTTTTTAATTTTAATGCACAAAAACACAATATATTGGCCAATTATTTGGTATGATATAAAAGATGATGCTATGCTGAGTAAATAGATACCAAACATGACATGCTTTAAAATTACACATGCCCTGTGCAATGGCGACAAACTGCATACATTTTTAATATCTATAGGCAACGCTTTAAAAGCCTTTACAAGCTACCATTTTAGATTTACAGAGGAGGTCTAGAGCTATAATTACTGCCCTTGATCTGACGTTCATGGCGATACCTCACATGCATTGTGCAATCGCTGTTTCCATACTGGCACAGGGTCAACGCTCACGACCGCAGGTGTGCGCGTGCGTGGATGGGCGAGGGTCCTTTTTTTTTTTTTTTTTGATTTATTTAATTATTTTTACACTGTCCCTTTAATATTTTTTTTTTAATCACTTTTAATGCTATCTCAGGGAGGGGGGGGGGGGCATTTTCTCCCGCTGCTTGTAAAGGCAATCCTGCAGCTAATTAACCACTAGCAATGCTTTTACATGAAAGCCCATTGCCGGCTGAAAAAAATGATACCAGGATGATGCCTGCAGCTGCAGGCATCACCCTGGTATAACCATTCAAAGTCCAGTGATGTACCAGTACGTCGCTGGTCCTTGTTGGGTGTATATGCTATGTTCTTTTTTTCTTTATGCAGCCTGTGGGCTGAATGAAAAAAAAAAAAGAAGAAATCTCTGCCAGAAAAAGTGTGTGGTATGCCCACCATTAGAAACCTCCCTACATCCACCCACTTCTAATGGTGGGCACACATGAAATGCGCCAACAAATATAAAATATATATGCCAAAGCATAGGGGCCATCCACCCACTGGACACCCCAGGCCCCCATGCTTTGGCATATATTCTCTTTTTTTTTTTTTTTAACTGCGGATGAAAAATCTCATCCGTCAGCACTGCACACACCTACTTATGTCTATTCTGAGAGCAAGTTTGCTGTTGCTGTCAGAATAAACAGGTCAGTGCTGCAGCTGAAAGCATTCCTGCAAACAGAAATAGTTAACAATAAAACAGTAACAATAAAACAGTAAAAGTAGAACAATCACAAAAGATGACAAAAATGACAACAACAAAAAAAAAAACTATAATTATTTTTGGTTATTAAATTTTTTTATTTTTTTGGGGGGGATTTGTATTTTTTATTTTTAATTATTTTTTTTTTTTAAACTTTAAACATTTTTTTAGGGTCTCTCCAACTTTAAACATTTTTCGAAAAATGTGCCCTGAGCAGACACAACATGTATTTTTTTGGGGTCTTCTTTGTTTGCTGCAGACACAACATCTTTTTTGGGGTACTTTGGGTTGGGGTACAGGAATGGTATCGGGAAAATGTCTCTCATGCAGATGGCTAACTGCATCTGGGATATTGGTTTGGGGCACAGCACCTTCTGGATACAAAAGGGCCCTGTTGATCTCTAACTGGAAATTTAGGTATGATCCACTATGTCCAGTTGCTTTATAGAGAACAAAAGCGTTATATACAGCCAATTGAAATAAATAAACTGACACTTTTATGTACCAGCGTTTGGCTTTTCGGGAAACTAAGTACGGCTTCATCATCTGGTCGTTGAAGTCCACCCCTCCCATGTTAAGGTTATAATCGTGGACACAGAGGGGCTTCTCAACAACACCAGCTGCCGTGGTAATTTGGACGGTCGTATCTGCGTGAATGGAAGACAGGAGGTAAACATCCCGTTTGTCCTTCCACTTCACTGCGAGCAATTCTTCATTTCTCAAGCAGGCTTTTTCCCCCTTTTTAAGATGGGTATTTACAAGCCGTTGGGGGAAGCCCCGGCGATTAGATCGCACAGTGCCACATGCGCAAATTCCCAGATTGAACAAATGTCTAAATAGTGGCACGCTTGAATAAAAATTGTCCACGTATAAGTGGTACCCCATATGGAAAAAGGATGACGCCAAGTCCCAAACTATCTTGCCACTGCTCCCCATGTAGTCTGGGCATCCGGGGGGCTCCAAGTGACTATCTTTTCCCTCGTAAATCCGAAACTTACATGTATAGCCTGTTGCCCTCTCACAGGTCTTATACATCTTGATCCCATATCTGGCACGCTTGCTGGGGAGATATTGTTTGATTAGAAGGCGGCCAGAATATTGAATGAGGGACTCATCGATGCAGATGTTTTTATGGGGAGTATATACATCTGCAAATTTTTGTGAAAGTGATTTACGAGGGGCCGAATTTTGTGGAGCCAGTCAAATTTAGGGTCACCCCGAGGACGACTGAGTGTGTTGTCGTAGAAGTGCATAAAACGCATTATCTTCTCATATCTATGCCTGGCCATGGCAGCAGAGAACACGGACATGTGAACAAGCGGGTCTGTGGACCAATACAACCGCAATTGATTTTTATTATTAATGCCCATGTTGAGGGTTAGGCCCAAAAAAACTTTAAATTCGGAAACCGTAATGGGTTTCCATGCGAATGGTCTGGCAAGGTATGAATTTGGGTTGGCGGCGATATATTGTCGTGCATATAAATTGCTTTGATCCACAATCAATGCATAAAGATCTTCTGTGAAAAACAGCTCAAAAAAATCAAGGGGAGTATTTAAATTTGCTGTTTCCACCTGAATTCCGGGTTGGGCAGTGAATGGGGGAAGTAAGTGTGCTGCAGAATTTGTGGGCTGCCAATCGGGATTTGCAAGCACATCCGGAAGGACACTAGGGGCTCTACGGGCCTGTCTGCGAATTCTTGGTGGCCGCGGGACACTACTTGTGCTCGCCACCGCACCAGCTTGTACTGCACTTATGGGACTCGCCACGTCACCAAGTGATACTGCAGTGCTGGTATGTATACAACCAGGATGTACTAGGCCGCTGGTGCTCGCCAGTTCACCAAAAGGTAGTGCGGCACTAGTACTGGCACTCTGCTGCATATGAGAGTCATCATGCATTTGTACCACCTCAGCAACCTGGGAATGGGATCGGGTACACCTGATCTTAGCAGGGACCTCTTCCTCGTCGTCTGAGTTATCTGTCAGGGTGCCGCTGCTGTCTATAGGTTCGTATTCTGAGCCTGATTCTGCCAGTGAGTCTTCCCCTTCGCTCTCACTTGACATGCTCAGAATCCTATAGGCCTCTTCACTAGAGTACCTTTGCTTGGACATTTTGGCCACTAAATTTACAGGTACCTAGTGCGACTCACGGGAAAAAGAGCACCTGGCTGTCAGGGACTGCTTGAACCGCTACAAAAAATTTACCGACAAGTGCTAACAGAGATCAGGCCTGATTCTGTGAACACTGCGGTTTTGTGTGTAATATGTATCAAGTGACAGTTATCTACTGACACTGCACTTGCTGGGGGAGAAGGGGGGGGGGGCGTAGGGGCTAAACGCAGGTGCTGGCAGGTGTCGGGGCTGATCCCGCTAACGCTGAGTTTTTGGGGATATTATAGTAATGTGAACGCTGGTATAGCACTGATCTGATCAAAGATATTGATCCAATCAGACACTATACTAGCAATGGAGGTTTAGCGTGCAAGTAAGCGTGTTCCTGGCAATCAAGGGGTCAAATGTGATTACTTGTGTACTAGCGGCAAACTGGCGCTATCTGGGAGGGGCGCTAACACTATCGGAAGTCACCAGTGACACTAATACAGTGATCAGTAAAAATCTGTTCACTGTAATCAATTACACTGGTGACAGGGCAGTGAAGGGGTTAACTGGGGGGGAGGGGGGCGATCAAGGGGTTAAATGGGATTTCTGGTGCACTAGCGGGAAAACTGGCGCTATCTGGGAGGGGCGCTAACACTATCGGAAGTCACCAGTGACACTAATACAGTGATCAGTAAAAATCTGTTCACTGTAATCAATGACACTGGTGACAAGGCAGTGAAGGGGTTAACTGGGGAGGGGGGTAGGGGGCGATCAAGGGGTTAAATGGGATTACTAGTGTACTGGCGGGCACTATCAGAAGTCACCAGTGACACTGATACAGTGATCAGTAAAAATTGGTTCACTGATCAGTGACACTGGTGACAGGGCAGTGAAGGGGTTAACTGGGGGGGGGGGGGGGGTTAACTGGGGGGGGCGATCAGGGGGTTAAATGTGTCCTAGGTGTGTTCTAACTGTTAGTGTAGTGCTTTGTACTCACTTTTTGTATGTCTTCTTCTCTGTCTGGAATGGAATGTGTCCAGGCATACTGTGATCATAACTGCCATACTGTGGTTATCTACTTATCTCTTGGAACCTCATTGCGCTTGGTATTTGCACCTTTTCTCAGTTTTTAAAAGAGTTGCCTTGAATTGTAGTCTGCAGATTGACACACCCAAATACAACATGCAGAACGTACAGTAGTTCTGCAAAGCAGACTATCAAAAACCATGCCTTTTCTGATGTCCATACAGCTTGATTGCCCTGAAGTAGAAAATTAATTCAAAGGGTCTATTTTTTAAGGATAAGAACAATTTTTCAGTATTCCACTTGTTTCATTATCCAGTGTAAAATACTTTATTTATTGTTATTTATTTATTTATAGTTTATTTATAGTTTATACTTCAGGCAAACTGCTAAAGATAAATGATAAATACATATACCAGAACTGTTTTACCTGTCAAAGGCTTTGTAATTCTGTAAAATCAATGTGTTATTTACACATACAGTATTTGACACTACAGGCAGATGACATATTCATTTTTCAGCAATGCAGCATCTTATATCACCTCTTCACCACCAGAATATTCAATGGTCAGTGAATCAACATCCTAACATCTGTCCAATTAGCAAGAAAGTGATCCAGAAAACAGTGAAGCTGAACTAGGGTGGAGTACAGCTGAACTAAGAACTTATCTTCCTGACTGCACAGTGTTTCAGAGGTGTGTAAAACAGTAAACATATACACTATATTGCCAAAAGTATTGGCACACCCATCCAAATCATTGTATTCAGGTGTTCCAATCACCTCCATGGCCACAGAAGTATAAAATCAAGCACCTAGGCATGAAGACTGCTTCTACAAACAATTGTGAAAGAATGGGTCGCTCTCAGGAGCTCAGTGGATTCAAGCGTGGTGCCGTGATAGGTTGCCACCTGTGCAATCAGTCCATCCATGAAATTTCTTAGCTACTAAATATTCCACGGTAAACTGTTAGTGGTATTATAACAAAGTGGAAGCAACTGAGAAGGACAGCAACTCAGCCACCAAGTGGTAGGCCAGTAAAATGATAGAGCGGGGTCAGTGCATGCTGAAGCACACAGTGCGCAAAAGTTACCAACTGCAGAGTCAATAGCTAAAGACCTCCAAACTTCGTGTGGCCTTCAGATTAGCATGACAACGAGAGCTTCATGGAATGGGTTTCCATGGCTGAGCAGCTGCATCCAAGCAGGTGTTCTCTGGAGTGACAAATCACTCTTATCTGTCTGGCAAACCGATGGGTGTGTCTGGGTTTGGTGGTTGCCAGGAGAATGGTACTTGCCTGACTGCACTGTGCCAAGTGTAAAGTTTGGTGGAAGGGGGGCTGTTTTTCAGGGGTTCAGCTTGGCCCCTTAGCTCCAGTGAAGAGAATTCTTAAGACATCAGCATACCAAGACATTTTGGACAATTTCATGCTCCCAACTTTGTGGGAATAGTTTGGGGATGGCCCCTTCCTGACTGCGCACCAGTGCACAAAGCAAGCTCCATAAAGACATTGATGAGGGAGTTTGGGGTGGAGAAACTTGACTGGCCTGCACAGAGTCCTGACCTCAACCCGATAGAACACATTTGGGATGAATTAGAGCGGAGATTGTGAGCCAGGCTTTCTCATCTGACATCAGTGCCTGACCTCACAAATGCACTTCTGGAAGAATGGTCAAACATTCCCATAGAAACACTCCTAAACCTTGTAGACAGCCTTCCCAGAAGAGCTGAAGCTGTTGTAGTTGCAAAGGGTGGGCCAACTCAATAATGACCCCTACGGACTAAGACTGGGATGCCATTAAAGTTCAAGTGTGTGTAAAGGCCGGCGTCCCAATACTTTGTGCAATATAGTGTAAATACCTACGCTTTGAATTCAGCCTGTAGTATGTAGTTATGGTTAGTTCAACACAGTGTATGGACATCTTCAGTTAGGTGTGCTTGCTCTGGTCATTCTACAGAGACTGGCGAAGAAAAATGTAACTGTAGACATTTGTTTATTCACCATTTATTTGCCAGTTTTCTAATCAAACTTTGTTCCATTGGCCAGTTCCTTAAAGTGTTACTAAACCTACAACAGTAAAATCCGCATGTATTTGCAGTAAAGCATGCTTGTTATACTCACTGTGGAACCTAAGAGGTTAATCCTCTGCATTGTGTAAAAAGGCTGTTAGATCCTTTCTTCTCTGCTCCTCCTCTTGCTGAAATGACCACCTGATACAGACTGAATCCATAGTCACATGCACATGCTCAGTTTGGTGTGTATTGCTAGAGAGGTTTTTTTTTCTTGGGAGAGTGCATGTGATCAGCACAGTGCCAATCAGCACTATCCAGACAGAAGGTCAAGGGTTTCACACCCTCCTAGAGCAGAAAGAAAACTCCTTCTACAAGCTTTACCCAGTGCTCTGCTGAAGTCACAAGACTGCTCTAATTGCTGCTGAGAAAATGTATTTAGCAGTTTATATTTACTAAAATAATTGAATTTTCATGTTGTGTGTTCTGTGGGAGACAAGATATAGTGAATGCAGGGTCTGGGATTTAGTAACACTTTAAAGCCTTGCAAATAGTGGTAAAAATAGTTGGCAAAGTCCAAGACCAAAAAAAAAATAAACTGCTGGTAATCCCTTTCTTTTCATAAATAGTCCCTTAATATTCGTATACAGCAAAATTCACTTTGCATAAATGCTTCACAAATCTAATTTAAAAGTCACTTAAAATGTCAACACTTTGCAGCAATCCCATTGATTTAGCAGATTGATAGAATATGATATTACACTATTATCTGTCCATGTGAATATGTGAGCCCCAAATGACGCTTATCAGCCTCACCCAGGACTGCAAAGTAGTGATGTGCCAGGGTTTACGACCATCGATTCAAGCAATCTAAGATACGGCATCTGTAACCACTGACATCACTCTCATCACTTGAAGGGATGTGAGATGCTTTACCTGTCTTTTACTGCTATAAGTACAGCATTCCTTGAGGCTTAATCAGTTAACCTGCATTATTAATAGAGTATAACTCCTATATTAGGTAAATCGCGTGAAAGTTTTATAAACTGGAGGAAAACCAAGCATGATTTAAGAGAACATTTAAAAAGCAGCAGTATAGACGTGAAAGGAAACATTTTATCACTTCTTACAAATATACTCCTATGTTAATGCTGTAAGTCTAAAGTATCCTCTAAAGTAAACTGCTGTATAAACCCACTTGCCAACCACCCACAGTACATTTACTGTGGGTGGGCGGCACATACAGGCAAAGTGACATACCCATATGTCATTCTGTTCGAACAGACTCAGAGGGGCGCTATGCGCCCGCTGGGGCACCCAGCACCCACCTCCTTCACCTTCCATCAGACACAGCAGAATGCAGATCCTGGTATTCAGGGCCCAGTGATCATGTGATCACATAGTGATCAACAAAGTGATCCCAAAGTCAACAAAGCTGTTTTGAATCAATATGATTCATAACAGCTTTGCTTCCTTTACTAGTGAGCTGTGATTGGCCCACAGCTATCACATGGTACCTGGACCAATCACAGCACCTTTTACCATGTGATTAGCTGTAGGGGCAATGATTTTTATTGTACAAGCAATCAAATTAAAAAAAAAAAAAAAAAACTGATCACTCCCCCCCCCCTTCCCCGAGTAGTACAATGTTACTATGGTGAAAGTATAAAAAAATAGTAAAAAAAAAAAAGAAAAAAAAATTTAATTTAATATTAAAAAGCTGTTTAAAATATTGAAGAAAAAATTATTATTTTTTTTTTTTAACATTCTGTCATCAGTCGGTTCCAGTCATACCATGACGCTGTACAGCGCCGATGACGATATGTAAAAAAAAAAAAAAAAAGTGGAAAAAAAACTATTTTGTTCTTTACAAAAAATTACAACTGCAAAACCTTGCCATGCCTTTTACCAAATACCTCAGACTGTCTACTTTCCAAAAAGGGGAAATTTGAGGGATTTTTTTACTGTCCTGGCATTTTAAGGGACTTAAGAAATTATAACGGCCATCGATACATCAGGATTGATCTAATTTCAAATATATATAGTTTGTGAATGCAAAACTTGCCTACAGTCTAAATAATATACACTATTTGGGACTTTTTTTTTTACCAAAGACATATAGCAGAATACATTTTGACCTAAATTTATGAAGAATTTTTCTTTTTTTAAATCTTTATGGATATTTTTTATAACAGAAAATAGAAAATATAATTTTTTTTCTAAATGCTCAGTTGTTTTTTGTTTATATAATAATAATAGAAATCAAAAAAAAGTGGTGATCAAATGCCACCAAAAGAAAGTTCCATTTGTGTGAGCAAAATTAAATAAATTTAATTTGTATACAGCATTGCATGACCACGCAATTGCCAGTTAAAATAGCACAGTGCCGAATAGCAAAAATGGCTTGGTCACGAAGGGGGGTAACATTTTCTGGAGTGTGGTGGTGGTATGCTATAGTTATATTATTTGCAACAGGTTTACTTAAATGCCTGGTTTTCCCCCACTTTTTATACTCACCTTCCTTTCAATTTCCAATTCTTTGTTCAGCCACCTGGAGCAAAGAGAAATATCCTGTAGTTCACGGTATGGAGAGCATGTAACTCTCTCCCTCCTTTCTCCCATGATGCAGTGCTGTGAGCCCAAACAGCCAATTCCTCATGCACTGTCACACATGGATGGGAGAGAGCCTTCAAAGTGGCTATAGATGGATTAAATCTAGGCCAGTTCAGCATTGACCTGCCAAGATTCACTCCATCTATGGGCAGGCTGGTTGTACCCAAGTCAATTCATTGACCAGCCTGTCAGATTTTTTGCTATAGCCGCTAGCAGTAATCATTGCATTCTGCCAGCCGGGAAGGCTCCCTGCCAGCAGAACACAGTGGAGAGATTTCCCCATCACACTGACTGTGTTGATGGGGTAATCGAGTGATTTACTTTCCTGCAACCCATGGTTGCAGGAAAGAAAATCGAGTCATTTATGGCTTGCCTTAGGCCTGTTTAAGATCCAATCAAACTGACTTTGCAAAATAGAGTATAGAGGGAGTAAAGGGAACCTGCATGGACAAAACACAGTTTCACTTTAAATATAAGAATAATACAATCAAAAATATTTTTGCTTCCTCCCATTTGATGTCCCATAAGGAATACAATAAGTGGAGGACATAACATACTGAGCTCTTTAGCAGTCATGAAGTGCATCACGTCTCATGTGCTCTCAAGTGACTCTGGCACAAAGAAACAAAAGCTAAGAAGGGATGACTAGTGATACAAAGGAAAGCTAGAACAAAAATAAGCAAATGTACTACTAATCTCCTACAAGTCCAAATCTAGAAAAATAAAGTGGGAACACTTAAAGCCAAGGCATTGTCTTTCATAAATTGTGCTTTTGGTCCCTAGGATATGAAAGAAGAATTATCTCTTGATAGAAAAACACAGGCTGTGCCTTGTGTCTGTAACAAGTATATCTTTTTGTCTGATGGCGTTACATTATCTGTTAGTGAAACTTACAGAGCAATGTAGCACATGCTAAACATCTCTATTTGATAACATTATGTAACTGTCTAGTTCTGCTGAATAAAAATTGGAAGTGATTTAGTGCAGTCTAAAACATCTTTAACCTCTGTTTTGCCAGGGAGTTTGTGACATTATCCAAAAAACTGTAACATCATTTATTGTATTATAACGTTTTTAAAAAGAAATCTTAGGTAGTAGTGTTTACTACTGCTCCCTCTTTTCCTATTTTGCTGTGCACCAGAAGGGTAGGTTCGTTGATGCCTTTGTGCTGAAAGCCCCCATGGGACTCGAGAATTACAGTAAATGATATCTGTCTGAGCAGGTTTCTGTAAGCCCATCTCCTTCTTCCCTCATCTTCTGTTCACAAACATTCTTGGAGTGCTTTCTTTAGACCCTGTCTCTCCAAAATAAGAGGACCCACTTGGTTACCTTAGATGGGGAGAAGGCTGGTGGGATTTATACACAAGGCCCTCAACATACAGGTTGTGCAAGAAGCTGTCTCTCTAAAGTGGCAATTTTTTATCAAACGTAGCAGTGCTATGCACAAGGGAATAAATACAATTTTACTGACTGGCAACTGCTAAGGCTGAAACAGATTAGTGCTAGAAAAAATCTGGTAAAGGTGGGGTATTATATATCATAGTTCAATAAAGCTCTAAAGGAGGTACCATCCCCCAAACCAAATCATAAAGTAATAAACATAACAATTTGGGGGACTTTAAATATACCTCCAATAGTGAACTAATGCAAAAGAACAAACAAGATAAATACATCACATTTTATCATACAATTTCATAA